AGGGAAGTAAAAAGTATGGCATTGCCATCAGACATTTGGGACTCACTCATAATCCCCTTCTGATCCAGTTGGAATTTATGTCCTCGGTCAAAGTTATTAAAAGCAAGGTTTCCTGGTCACACTGGCATGCTCCATCTTTTTTCCATTTGTAGGGAACCCAAGCTGGGAATTTGTCAGAGGGTTGCAGTCTCTTGCAGCAGGGTGAGCGTTTGGTCAGGGTATTGTCCAGATTTGCAGTTTATCCATTTCTACTATCCTCCATGTAGATAATGCACCAGTGTTTCTTCTCTGAACTTATATCTTACATCCATATGCATCCCCCATCACACACTCCTTCCAACAATCCATATTTCACTGAACAGTCAGAGGTACATTGTAAAATACTGTGATGCTTTATTATCGCTCAGTTCAGCTCCTTCTCTATTTTCCATTACCCTTTGAGTAAAGCTCCAAGTCATGAATGTAACTTGTACTCTCCTCTCCTCTGCTTTCTGATCTTCACTGACATGTAATTTCTCTCCAGTCCTCATCTGTTCCTCAAACACAGTCATGTCACCAAGTCCCATTCCCACTCTCCTGTGCATGTAATGCTCTCTGATGTCTGAGTCCCACTGTCCTCGCGAGGCATGGGAGAGCGTTTGTGATGTGCAGGTGAGTTGATAGGAATAAAGCACATAGTCCTTATGTGATTGCTATCCACAGGGCAGTGCTGAAGAAGCCTCCCTTCCCCACCAGTTTACATCAGCTTCCCTTGTTCTGTGCATCTCACTGCTCGACTTCAGCCCATGCACCTCAGCCTCTCCTGTCAGTAGCCACTCTTGAAACTCAGCTGTGTGTTCTAACAGATCAGGTACTCAGCGGGTTTTCCTCTCACTGAATCTCAACAGGTGGGGAAGAGTAGATTCTAGATACATACTTACTGAATGAATGATGAAACAGATGATTGGCTAGTTTCAACTATACAGAATCTAGAAGAGTTTCTATCTGGCAGCTGTTAGTTAGAAATTGTATCATCAAGGAGAATGATTGATGGGAAAGGATCATTCTGAGAGAAGTAACTAAAGATGAAAATGCAAGAGGGTGAGATCACCGCAGAGTAACAGATAGACAGCCCAGACTACCCAGGCCATTCCAGGCCACAGTCCACTGCCCTGGCATGCAGTGGCAAATGAACAAAGGAAAGAAAATGAGATGATCATGAGGACAGTGAGAGAAGATGGAGGTCGGAGATATGCCTGAGGCTTAGGAAGGAGAACTTTGGGGGATTCTCAGGGAGAAGTAGCTACAACTTTCTGCTGAAGCATGGTGGCCCTGTGGAACAAGAACCAAAACTGACCGTGGCTTGGGCAATATCAGTAATTAGTGACCTCAGGTAGAGTCAGTGATATGGAATGGTTGAAGATAGCAAGCTTCCACAGATGTAAGACACTGAGAGAACTGCAAGCACACAAGACAGACAATGGCATCAAAGAGTAAAAGGTATGCAAGGGCTTGTGTGTTTTAGGTGAGGGAAATGCAGACCTTGTGTGGAATAAGCACGCAAGGAGTATTTTCTCACTTAGTCTTTTTCACTTCTCATTTACATGACAGGATATCTATGCTAAATAAGGGAGAAGTATTGTGTAATAGGAGATATTCTGAAACAACCTGAGAAATACAGCAACTTTAACAATGCACGCTGTGACTGGAAGAATCCCATTGGCCAGAGTCTCTCAATCAAGCTCCTTTGTGCTTGAGCAGACGCACAGGAAGCTTCTCCATAGATATGCACTGGGAAGCCACAACCACTAAAAATGCTCCTGAGATAGGCGGGATTGGCTGGGTGACTTGGTAACTCAGAGCTGCATCTGAGAAGAAAGACTACTTCATTCAAAAAGAACAGAAAGGGGAAATTATCCACACCACACAAAATTCAAGACAACAAATTCAAAGATCTGAATAAATTGCCTGTGCATGTATACAATCATGGTAATTTAATATATGGATATGACACTTATGTGCCAGGTATGAACTTTACTATTTTATGTGCATCAAGTCACTGAATCTCATAAGAATCCTACAAAATGGGAAAATTATTATCATATTACAAGTGAGAAATAAAAGTTAGTAAATTTCCTGAGGCCACACAGGATTCCACCCATAGAATGTGGCTTAGCCTGTAGTCTTACCTAATGAATTACACCTCTGTATGTAAGTTTAAAATAATTTAAGTAAATGTTTATGAAATACATGGAAACTTGGGATCTCCTGATGAGTTGTTTTATCATGTTTTGTGCTAAAATGAAGTAGTAAAATTGTTACAGGTTGGGTGAAACAGATAATGCAGTCTTTTGTACTTTTATTCAAAGTATAGTTGAGATCTAAGAGGAATTTAATGCTATTATAGCCAGAGGTCAATATAGTTCTTTACATGAAACAATTATCAGAAAATAGAAGAAAAGGAATTAAAACCACCTTATTTTGACTAGCTGCATGCAAGAAATTACAATTTGAAGCTAAATGCCAACCTTCCAGTAATGTCTAAAATGCACTAGCGTTGATTTTCATTAATCATGACTTTTGTGTTTGCCAACTCACCTGTGTGCTAACACTCATTTGCAACGCTGCAGTCCATACCCACAGAGCTCCCTGAGGACAGCTGTGTTGCCTGAGATGCATCTGCCCAACCACAGTCAGCCAGGGTCAGGCTCTGCTTTACCGCTTATACTCACGCTGTGAACAAGCACCTTTGTGCGGATCATGTGGTGACAGTTCTTTTTTTTGTATTTCTGTGCTTTCTGTGGGTAATTTTGATATTTCATGTCCCCTCACCTCCAGGTTGAGAGTTGAAGATTTGGCCAGTGTGCCTGAGTGCAAGAGCCTGTGATGTATTTCTGCAGAAAAAGTGTGTGAAATAAACTTTGCTCAGGTATGACTTGAGAGTGCTGTTGGACATCAGTTCAATGTGAATGAATCAATTATATTAAATAAATTGTCATAAACACATACAAAACAAGGCTATCTACTCATCAGTCAGGGAAACCACGCAGACCAAAGCCAGGAATCTGACCTCCTTATTTCCCTTAAGAAGGAAGAGTCAGTGTTTGCTATCTCAGGACTCAGTGTGACCTTTTAGAACACAGTACAAATGACAAGCATCAACCATAGCTAGGGCTTTTCTAATTGAGGAGAACTAGAGAGGAATAACATGTACAGGGGTATTTTCCATAGTGTTGTTATCTCTAATGACTATGATAAACTTCATCAGATATGTGAACCCATCTCTTCTTGCAAGAGCTAACCATTTCCACACACTAGACCTGGAAGGACTTGTAAAGATGTGTGCTCAGGACCCAGGGGCAGAATCTGCGGCACAGAGGAAGGCTCTGGATATGGCCTCTGTGGGTTGACTTACATGACTCATGTGAAACAAGAGAAGGTAAATGAAGCAAATGTTCTTAGTATAAACAACATTTTGGAGACTGATATCTTTCCAACCCATTTGTCAAGGACATTATGTGAACATCAAGATGAATTTTAAGAATAATAACATGAAACATTTTCAAGGGAAATTATTAAAGCTTATTGCCTTTATAAAACTGAGACGTGCTCAGAGATCATCGATAACCTGTTTTTAATATAATTTAAAATATAAATTAAATGAATACAAGAGCCCTTAGAGTTAGCTGCTAAAATACAAGCAAAACAGACTAACGATCAGTCTAGTTGGTGTGCAAAAGTCATGCTCTACAACAGGACTGGAGGTCTGGGTCATCACAGCAATAACTACATAGAATGCATGATTTTTATCAGCTGTCACCACTTTCCCACCATAACTTCCAGCTCGTCTACTGGTATTTCCTTCTCCTTCCAAACCAATGACAACTGGGTCCTACGTCAGAATCTAAATTCCTAAAGTATTTCCCTACCAAGAGTTCTTAATATCTCCAGCAATTCCATTTTTCTTTGTAAATCCAGTGAGAGATGTTCTGGTTTTAGGCACTGCTGTTCTCCTACTTTGTTTCATGGAAGCCCATTCTTCTAAGGAACATGGCCACTGTGTGTCGATGGACAGCACAGTGAATGCTGGATCTCATCAGATCTCATCTAACAGGAAAAGAAACTTTTCAGCTTCCATTTCCTTCCCAAAGTTAACGATAAAGAAATCCTCATGGAGGGAAATACATATAATTTAACCTGAAAAATGGGTAGGTAAGTAGCTACATGGATAATTGAGATGTCAGGTCGCAGAGCTGGATGACTGCGCAGCTTTCTATTAAGTAGGACATATATTTTTCCTCAATAAGGTAATGCTCTATGCACTGTCATAATTATCTTGGAGAAATAGAATTACGGTCCTCAACATGATTCCACGTCCAGTCTGCTGCAATAATAATGAAAACCTGGAAGGTGCAGTCCTTCACTGACATCCACCTCTATACTATAAAGAGTTTTAAGACTGAAATACAAGAAGAATGCTGATCCCCACGTCCTTCTCTGCTGATGCTCTGGTCCCTCTTCCACTTCTGGGACTTTTATTTTTGCTACTACTTGGATCCCCACCCTCGCTCTGCCCCGTTCTTTGTCTGGACAGTTTATTACTCTCAGCAACCTCTTGTACAGATCTAAGAATGGTCATAGAAATGGATTTCATAGTTAAATTTAGAGTGAAGTCTTCCTGGTCCTTTTTCATGCTGGTGAGTGATGCTTTCTCCAGCAATGTTTATGAGTAAAGCAGTAAAATCACGATCAAATGTTCACTTGCAGCAAAGCCCTTTATTTCCATAAAGGATCACAGCACTAGGTGCTTAGACTCAATGATCTTCACTAAAAGCATGCTATGTACTTTCACTGTGTTGAAATCAAGGCTTCAAAGAAACAAAGGTCATAACTAACCTAATAGTACACTGCATTTAGGTCTAATGGTGTGTTATTGATTTTTGTTCATCTTTTTGAAAGGGCTAAACAGAGTAAGGAAAGCAAAGGAACGAAACTGTAGGCAGGTAGAGCAGGGTTCCCACCTCCACACACCACACCATCCAGGTCCTCACAGCGACGATCGTCACACTCGCAGGTCTTGCCATATACCCTGTGGTCCCCAGGTGGGTAGCAGGTGCACTTACCACATTCGCATTTGCCTGAAAAAGGTCAAGAGAAAGCACGCAGGTTAGGGAAGTCACAGGCTCAGAAAGGCATTCAGGAAACAAGCAAGGAATTGAACCTGAATCTTCTGACCGATTCTCAGCTATGCTCCGTAACAGTTCAGCAAATACTTTTCCTAACCTGACCAGAAGCAGGACAGAAGTTGGTGTGACAGTGAGCAACTCAGAAGACACTCACATTGACTAATTCTACTCTTGTTTTAGTCAACTTTGAGAACACCACTGTGAAACTATCACATTCAACTTAGTTGGATGACATCATTTGAAATAATGGAATCTGTTTATACCTTTTGGCATAATTTAACATGATGCTATCTTTTTAAATAATCTTTCTTAGGATTGATCTGCCAGGTGAAAAACTATTTGTAAGTACTTCTTAATGTGACATTTCTGTGAATATTGGTAGTGATTTTATAATTCAGAGAATTCACTTTAATGTGGAACACACGTCATAACACATGACCCAGAAGAAAAACCTTATAATTTTGGCTTAGATTTATAGGGCCGGCAAGATAGTTCAGCAGACTAAGTGCCTGCTTAGGCAAGCCCAGGAACCCAGGTTCAATCTCAGGCACCACGTGCCATGTCAGTCCCAGCCCTCGGCTCACTGAGCTGGCCACTGAGACCAGTGTGGTGGTGCACACCTGTAATCCCATTGCTACAGAGACTGAAAATAGGAGGATCACTATGGGTCCAAGCTGCGTAGTAAGACCCTGTATCAAATACATTAAAAATAAATAATTTTTTTTAAAAAAATACTCTGAAAGTTCAGACTTAATTGGCAAGAGTTTGGTTCACAGTTAACTACCCCCTTAATATTATGATGATTTTCATTATTTTTCTTGAGCTACATAGCCAACACTATAATTCTTCCCATTACATCATTTTGCTTTCCTCAAACCCCCACACTAACCAACACGATTACTATCATTTGCCTAAAGAGGAAACAGACATATTGAGGGAAAGTTACTGTTCACAGAATAACGAGCAAGGAATGGAATCAAAATTCACATCCAGTATCACTTATCTGAAAGCGGGTGCACCCACCCATGAAGTCATAGCTCATCTTCATACACTCATAAAGCTGCATCAGGAGGCTATGTGGAAAAGAAAACTCCTTTTGTCTGAGGAGCTGCACTGGTTTGCCAGAAATCCAGCTCCCAGACATCTGTGACTCTCCTTCATTAGCCCAAGCAGCATAATCACCCACCATTGAAGCGATCCTAAGACGCTTCCAGCTGACCCTGTGGTGCTGTTTGTCATCTTACTGCTGCACTTGTATCTTGCTAAAGAAATTCTGAGTGGGTAGATGAAGGGGAAAGAAAAATTAGTATTTGCAATCATGTAATTTCAGAGCTGTCATTAGAAGTAATCTAATGCAGTGATTCACAGTCTTTTTGGCAGAAGTGGTGGGCTCGGAGTGCCTTTGAGAATCTGATGGAGGATAAGGCATGGGAGAAGGCGCTGTGAATTCCCCTCAGTGAATTGCTTTCGATTTGGAGGTACAGAGCTAATGTCCAGCAGGAAGAAGGGGCTGCTCTCTCCGCGGGACTTCCCTCTTACTTCCTCTTTGTTGGCGCAAATAGGCTAGAGGAACAGGTTTGAGCACAGACCTGACTGCTGGGACAAAAGTGAAGGGACAGCAACCAGAGCCTCAGCACCGTGTTGACGCAGTAGCTGTGCTCCGCAAGCGCCCGGCCCTGTGAGAGGACAGCAGGGAGGCTGGCTGTGTGGCGGTCGCCTGCTACCCCATCCAGGGCAGAGCCTGTGGTCCAGGCTTGCACAGTGAAATCGTGTCCTCCCTCTAACGTCCTGCTCACCCCAGTTTACCTGCAGTCAAGTACCTTAGCTGGGGGCAGTTAGGGTTAAAAGGCAATCTACCCTTTAGTTAGCTAGGAGGACTAAGCTGAAGAAATCTAGTGTACACCAGGTGACTGTAGTTAACAACAATTACTAACTACTGTTTTTAAAATTGCAAGGAGAATAAATTTTAAGTGATCTTACCACAAAACATTTAAGTGTATAAGGTAACATATATATCAACTTTATATAGTTATTTCATATTCATCCATATTTCAAATAATACTCTACACAAAATCAATGCATACAGTTTTTTGCCAAATTGCATAATTTAATTTTTAACCAAAATCTCTAAATAATAGAATTCGGATCTATTCCTGGAAAAATGTATCAGTTCTCTCCATCTCTCTGTCTCTCTTTCTCTCTCCACCCCTTTGTTACTTCCTTTCTTTGTAAAACACCAGGAAGATCCATGACTTCTTCCCTCTATGTAATATTGTGTGAAGCTGAACGATTCACCTGAGGTTATCTAACTAAATACAGTTAGCACTGTGTTAGAAGACAGATTTCTCAATGCACAGCACTCTGACAGTCATTATCAGTAGGTGTGTGAATGGACCCACTAAGGCCAACTCAGAGAGAAACAGACCAATGTTGAGGCCCTGTCTGTGTGCAGGTTCACTCGTCCTCCTGCACAGCTATGGGGAACCACCGCGACCAATCACATTACTCCTCAGGCACAACAGCTTCTTAATTACAAACAGTCAGTGTTGACATTTCAGATACGTGTTGATGTTGACACATTTATTCACATGTTAAGGCACATAGTAATTTTCCCAAATAACTGTTATTGGTTCCTTTCCCTCTTTGGAAGGGATAAAGTAAATTATGGCATAAGTGTCAAGATACCAACATTTCACTATTTCATTGTTGGTATTCCTTTTTTATATTTCTTGTATAAAGTTATAGGATGAAGAGCTAATATTTCGTCCAAGTAACATTGCATTTCCATATTTTTTCCAATATATTTATGGGTAAGAAGAAGAAATAATTAACCATTTTGCAAACTTTTTCCACGTATTTATTGGAATTTATTTTTAGACAACACACTGAGCCAAGTATGAACTTTACATATGCAATTTAATCTACTCTATAAGATACAATGTCTTCCAAAGTAAAGGCGAATGCATAATACCTGGAAAGGTTAAACGCCTAATGCAACCTGCATCATAAAGCATGTGATTCTTCTGTCTTAAATCATATCTCTGTCACCACCAAAAATAAGTATCCACTTGGGTTCAGTCATTATTATATACCTGCCAAGCAGATTTCCAATTATTCTTCTAGTTCCCAAGTAAATGGCACTGAGTCAGTGACACATACATCTTCTTATGCCCTTTCACAAATTCTGCAAAGTTAACCACACTTCTTATGTAGTCGCATGATTCTCAATCAACGTTTATTGAATGAATGCATTAAATAATAATTTCTGAAAATTTACTAATATACAAATGTAAAACTGAGGAATGGATAAAAAAAGATGTGGTATTTTTACATAATGGAGTATTATTCTGATATAAAAAAGATAAATTTTAGGCTTTCATAGGTAAATGGATATAACGAGAGACTGTATTATGAACTAAATCCACATGTGCAAGCATAGTATTGCCTCTTTAGTGTGAGAACCTGGAAGAGTAAATAAAATCTGAAAAGTACAATAGATACTGGGAAATGGAAATAATTTGCTCACTGGAAAGGAAAAACTGGGATCAGGAAAGGGACAAAAGAAATAATGGAAAAAATATGGAGCAGTTAATGTTTAAAAACATTTTTTCCCTTTTTAATTTCTTATAACTTTTTTTTTTCGGAACCAGGGATTGAACTCAGGCCCTTGCGCTTGCCAGGGAAGTGGTTATCCTACTGAGCCATCTCCCTGGCAGTTGTTTTGCTTTTATTTAATCATTTTTGCAGGTTTGTATCCGATAACAACTAATTTGAAGATAACATCAAGCAATATAGTAACCATTGTTGAATTCCTGTTGCTTTGTTTAATGAAATTTTGTATTGTTTCTAATGCTTTTTGTTTGTTTGTTGTTACCATTTTGCATTCTTTTAAAAAAATGAATATACAAATGTGAGCTTAAATGGCAGAACTTGAATTAGAGACAGGATGTCAAACTTGAATCACACATCTACTTCCAATTGCTTGAATACCTTCATTCATGTTTCCACAGCTACAGCAACTAAGTATGCTCCACATCAAATTCACCATCTTTATCGATAAATGTAGTCCTTCTTCCTTGGTCTTTATTTACAGAACTATCAGCATCTTCCAGTCTCTCATGAAGTCTAAAGAGTAGATGATACATTTGATTTTCTCTTCTTTTACTTAATGATTCTCCTTTCGTTTTGAAATTTCACAAAATTCACCTTCCTAAAGCTTATTTATGACTAATTTCCTTACATAAATCAGCTTGATGGCCCTCTGTGACATTCAAGATCCTATTTCTTCACAGATTTTTGCATACTTAGTTGTTATGTTTTGTGTCTACTTGTTCCCCCAAAACCTAATGCAGTCATGGGGCAGCTTCTAGAGTTTGCAATTAATTCATGATCTGATGTTGGGGTTATGGGTGTGTGTGCTGTTTCTGCCCTGGGGCGGACAGCCTGAATACAATATAAGGGAGGAAGAGAGGCTTGCTAGCTGCTGAAGCCACTGCCCCTCACTTTGCTCTTTGCTGGTTTCCACTACCATGAACAGCTGATCTCTGTCATGTGCTAGTCTGCTTTGAGCCAGCTGAGTATGGCCTGAAACATCCACAAACTGTGAACTAAGTAAACCTTTCCTTCCTTAATTGTCTGCTATTTTGTCCCAGTAATGAGAGAAAAGTATCTGAGGTATTAGTCTAGTATAGTTTTTTTTGTGTGTATGTGTATGGTACTTGGGATTGAATCAGGACCTTGTGCTTGCCAGACAGGAGCTTATACTGCTGTGCTATACCCCTAGCCCATAGTCTAGTATAGTTTTGCAAGCACAAATATGACTGCCATTGTACATTCCTGTTGGGACCAAGGCTCAGGGGCCATGTCCCTTCCCTGAACAGTGAATCCTACCCAGTCTTCAATGGCTATCTCAAATCTCATCTCGTCTGAGAAATCTCTGACATCCTGCTTGG